TTTCCCTTACTGGGAAAAGAACAAAAAACTTTTTTTTTTTAACAGCATCCTTTGCTGTGAAAGCAAACAAGCACGCAGAGTCGCCAAGTCAAGACGGAGAAGAGCGCGGCACTGCGATCCCCTGACCTCTTTGCTCTCTCCGGTCCCCTGCTCCGGGCTCTGGCACTGCTCCTTGGTGAGGTTGGTCACGGTGCCGGTGAGGTTGGCCAGCACATACTTCACCAGCTGTGTGGATCTCACCGGTGTGTTCACCGCCACATAGTACTGGGGAGCTCGGTCCTCTGGAACGCCATTTCGGTTTGGGAAGAAAAGAGGGGTGAAAAAAAAAAGGAACAGACTTGAGCAAGCCTCGTTCTCCACCGCTCTTGGGCGGAGTGGTGGCTCTCTGGCTAAGGATCTGTGCCCGTCACTTGAAGGTTGCCGGTTCAAATCCCGCAGCCGGCAGAGGAATCTTACTCCGTTGGGCCCCTGAGCAAGGCCCTTAACCCCAACTGCCCCAGGGGTGCTGTACAATGGCTGACCCTGTGCTCTGACCCCAAGCTTCTCTCCCTGTCTGTGTGTCTGTTTCTCATGGACAAAAGCTGGGGTCTGCGAAAAGACGAATTCCTAATGCAAGAAATTGTATAGGGCTAATAAAGCAACATTACATTATTATTATCATTATTCTCCGACTCTATCTAGAGAAGGAGCTTCTATCAGTAACATTCCCAGCAGTGAGGCATAACTGCGCCCAGCAGATGAGGAACATCACCAGCCAGGCACAGCTGCAAAAGGGAAGGTTTAAGATCCGTTTAGAGGAACAGTGATTTTAGGGACTGACTTTCAGCCTCTTCCAAAGGCTTCTTCAACATCCCCAAAACAAAACAAAGATTTTCTCTATTCGTTTTCATTTCACGTTACCCCAGATCCGAAATAAGGAGATCACAGCAAGCCCTGCAGTGATGCCCTGATCCCACAACCCTCTGATTCAAGCTTCTCAGCTTCTAAACACCTTTCTAACGGCGGCCCAGTTCAGGCCCTGATGTGGTGTCTCCTTTCAGCCGCTATATTTAATTGAACCATTAATTGAATTGACAGTTTGATTAAATCATACTTTTCTTATTTTCCCCTCTTAAGATTGCAGGTCATTTATGAAAAGGTAATATACCCACACAACACGTGGCACCTCTGGAACTGAAAACTCGGCACAAAGCTCCAATTGGTAAATGAAGTTAAATCTGGGGTTTAATGATCAAGAGCTTGAGAAGCTCTTGGATACAGACTGGGAACCCTGCTGGAGCAGTGAAATAAACTCTCTTACCCAGTATGTCAGAGGGCCGGTCAGGGCTGACCAGAGACCGGAACCATGAGTTGTTCGACTGAATGAGGAAGCCGTAGAGCATCTGGGTGACCTGTGACAACAAAAAAACAAGTTAAAAGCAGGCAGCAGACTGGATGTATCTGCTTGATTTCTTAATATAATTGAAATTGAACTCGACAGCTCTACCAATTAGCTATAGAGCCCTTTACAACACTATGCCACAGAGTGCTTTACAGAATAAACAGCAGCTGTTGAGCATGTGGACATAGAGGAGAGGAAAACCCCCCCTATGGGAGAAGGGAAAGCTCTGGGGGTCCCAGGCCTGATAGTTACCCCCACTTCCAGCCAATGTGTTTCTGGCACCATTATCAGATGCATTCCTACAGGGGGAAACCGTGAAAGGTAATCAGCTCTTGTGATACTCCACATGAGAGTAATGGAGAGGCTGCTGGTGGAACACGTCAATGAAGCTAAATCCATATCCTGCCCTTTAATTTTAGGCCATGTCTTCTGTAAAGAAAAACTCCTTAAATCCTAGGTTGAGACAACTTGATGACATTTTACTACAAGAAAGATGTCGGCAACAACAGTCCCACAAAGCCAGGTCTTTTGAGGTTCTTTCCTCAGCATTACAGTATCGTACTCGCATGTCCGAAGCTTTAAAGGACAAAGAACACACCATTTGCATATTTGAGGGATTTCACATGAAGCTAGGTAAAGAGCTAAGATTCTTACAGAAAAACAGATTGGCCCGAACAAAAACAAATATAGGTTTAAGAATTAAGCTCCAAGATTGGACATATTTAAGGAAATCCGTCTCTTCGGGTTCCGCCCCAACTCACAGTTTTGGGATCAGCCTGGATGTTGGACAGGTCCGCGTCTGAGCCGCCAGCATGCTTGTAGAGAGCCCGGGCAACAACGGTGGCCACCTCGGACAAGGCCTGACGAGACAGAGACAAGGTTAGTGTCCTCCGAGGGCGGACACCTGGACAGGGTGCTTCCAGCCCGTTTCGTGGGGCCCGCCTCCCGCCACGACGCTCTCCCGCGAGGCCGACGGGCTGAGGGAATTGTTAAACTTAAGAATTCGGCTTGATACAACCCCCGCCGAGATGCACACATGAGACACAGCAAGAAGATGCCAGCGGTCAAGTCCTTTCCCAACTCGCTGCTCCCAGGAAGAGGCAGACGTCTATCTGTTCCCCTGTACTTTCTCACACTGAGGTTCGAGAGCCCCTGCTTGGCAACGGGCTATGCGCACCTTGTTGTGGCACAATGCAGGACATAGAAACTGTCTCGAGTGCCCTTAAAGATGATTATTAGAGCGCACATCAGGAAATCTGGATCTGCTCTGCTTCTTTGAGGGAGAAACCCCTTCAAGGGCCCTTCAAGAAAATTACAGGGGCACACATCAGGAATCTGGATCTGCTTCTCTGAGGACTCCTAAAGTAGATTACTGGGGCGCACATCAGGAATCTGGATCAGCCTCTCCGAGGACCCTTGAAGACGACTGTTGGGGCGCACATCAGGAATCTGGATCTGCCTCTCTGAGGACCCTTGAAGAAGATTACTGGGGCGCACATCAGGAATCTGGATCTGCCTCTCCGAGGACTCTTAAAGAAGATTACTGGGGCGCACACCAGGAATCTGGATCTGCCTCTCCGAGGACTCTTACAGAAGATTACTGGGGTGCACATAAGGAATCTGCATCGGCTTCTCCCAAAGTCCTGGCGGAACAGAGCAGGCTTCCCATGGAGTCAGGGTCATTACCTGGGCTGTGTCGGTGACAAATTCCAGCTGCTGCTCTGGCGTCATCCCACTGGGGTATTTCAGGCGCAGGTTGTCCGCCGTGTCGTACGAGCTCTCGTGGTACCTGCGGGGGGGGGGAGGTGGAAACAGGGGGGTTCACTCCTGCACCAGCGGGGCCATGGCCCCACGGGCAAGTCGCACAGCGGGGAATTTCGTGGGGAAGAGGCAGGGATGAGCTCTGGCGCTCCGATCAGGGTGAGAATCTCGGGAGGGGGCGCGAGAAAGGCTGCACATTGGAACATCCCATAAATAACCCGATGTCTGCAGGAGAGTGGCAATCAAGGGATCGCCGTTCCGTCGCGGCTGTGTTTTCTTGCCAATCAAATATTTTGATACCTGTATATCTCTCGCTTAAGA